AGCGAGAGGGATGAGCTCTGAAGCCCCAGCAGCGGCTGAGCTGCTCACACCAGCCAAGCCTTAACTGCCCCGCCCGACCCTGAACCAGACCCTGCCTGAACCTAGCCTAGCCGCCCCTCCAAGGGACTGGAGGGCTGGGGGCGGGAGTTTACAACCTAAGCCATTCCACCCCTTCCCCTGCTGGGGAGAATTACACATCAAGCTGCTAAACTGGGGGGAGGGGGGAAGGGGGGAAGGGAAGAAAAACTATGCAAAAGCCAAAAGCCTCTATACTGTCTCCTCTTCCTGAGCCCTCAAGCTGACCCTTAGGGGGGAGGGTGGGACTGTCACACCCTGCCCAGGGCCACACCCTCCCTGAGCTAGAGAGGAACCCAGTCACCATGTCCAGAGGAGGAAACCCAGTGGGAGGTGGCAGGGAAGCCACCCACAGATTTCTAAGTTTAGCCCCTGCTATAGTCCACTCCCCCTCACCAGCTCCTAGGCCCAGAGCCAGGTATGACCTCAGTCTTTGCTCCAAGACTCCACCCTGCAGGCGAGAGTCCTGCCTTTGCCGTTGGCCTCCAGGCAGCAAGCAACTCATAAATGAAGAGCGGCCTCAGGCTGGCAGCCAGGGGAAGACAAGGACCAGGAGAGGACATGTTGGATCCTGTGGCCTTTATTTGTGCCCCCACCAAGTGCAGTCAGAGCAGAAACCCCAGGGGCCTGGACTGTGGGTTTTGCCTCCCAAGTCCTCTACCCCAGCCACTCTCGTGTGAGCCAAAAGTATATAAAGTGCTGGTGTGTGACCATCCTTCGGGGGAGGCCAAGGGAACAAGAACCCCAGCCCTGGACCAGAGCAGGGGGTGTGCTCTGCCCAGCTCTCCCCTAAGGCTGGGAAACTCATGCAGTCCTGGGCAGCAGGAAACTGGAAAAGGGAGCCTTCAGCATGGAGTCCTGGGGGGAGAATGGGGACTGGGGCAATTTCTGCACCCCTATGAAGGGAGGTGGGCAAGTTGGAGGCGGGGGAAACCTCAGAGAATAGGACAGCCCCTCCGGCGCTTATTCTTGCGGACCTGGAGGCCTGCCCGAGTAGCCATCTCAAACACCTCCCGGACCCCCTCCTTGGTCTTGGCTGAGCACTCCAGGTAGCCAAAGGCACTGATCCGGTTCGCCATGTCTCGGCCTTCCTCAGACCGAACGGGTTCCTGAAAAGACAGGAGGATCTCTAGCCCTGGCCCTGCAAAGCACCCAGACCCCATCTCCCTGTTAGTTAACAGGGACCAGAGATCCAAAACCAAAACTCCCATCCCAACAAGCCCTATACCCCACGGGACATATTTCCCTAACCTGAATGTCTACCCTTTGGCTACCAGAATCAGGTTTTCTTTCTTTTTCTTTTTTCTTTCTTTTTTTTTTTTTTTTTTTTTTGTAGGGCGTGTGTGCTCACCAGCCAGAGGGATGGTGAGAAATCACACACACACACCCCCAGGAGATGGTCACACCGCAATCCCTTCTCCAGTCTCTCAGGAGTTTTGGTCATACATGCACATGCACCCAGCACAAGTTTCATAACCTTTATGCCATCTGCTAGTCAGAAAACTGAATCATCCGTTTTCTAACATGCAGGCCTGACAGGTATCCCCAGTTTAAAACCTCACCATTAACTATCCTCATGAGCCCACATTCCTTGTTCTGACCCTGTGCTCTAATAAACTAGCCCTCTGGCTAGAGCCACATGTCAGGTCCCTGAAGAAGCCAGCTTCCTTACCCTCCCTCTTGCAGCCACTAGCCCACCCCTCCCCAGGTACAGCCCCCACGGAGACAAGCTGTATTCCTGAGGATGAGCATTTTCTTACTCCTCAGCAGCACCAATTCTAGACAGAATGGACAGTAAACCAGAATAAGTGAAAATCCCAAGTGACCTGAGACAAGCCACTTCATTTTCTGATGACATGAGACCTGAGACCAAGGGCCCTCCAGGTTTTTCCCTCTGCAGGTACAAACACACAGCCAGCAGCCTGTCCCAGGGCAATGAGTGGGAGAAGGAATGCCCCGCTTCCAGCCCACAGCCCTGCTCACCTGCTTCATCTTGGCCAGCTCCCTCCTGGTGTGCTCATCTTGCCTCAGGTCCTTTTTATTCCCCACCAGGATGATGGGCACATTGGGACAGAAGTGCTTCACCTCAGGCGTCCACTTCTCAGGAATGTTTTCTGCAGACAGGTCCCAACAGGTGTTGGTGCATCCACTGAGACCAGGGAGCCCCTGCCCCAGGCCCCCTCACCTTCCCTCAGCGGTCTTAGAGGCTGTTTGCTCCGACAATCCTTTCACAGCTTCAAACCTCTCCTCCCCAGGGTATACCCTCCCAAGGGCCAGAGTACCATAGTCAAGGAGACAATTTGGGCCTAAATGTTCCCTGTGCCATTCCCCACAGCCTCTCGGCCTTTGAAGCTGGCTGCAGGCAGGCCAACGCTGATTCCAACTGTTCTCAGTCCCCTCCCTCCAGCCAGTGCCCTCACCCAGGCTGTCGGGGCTGTCAATGGAGAAGCACATGAGGATGACATCAGTGTCCGGATAGGAGAGGGGCCGCAGGCGGTCATAGTCTTCCTGCCCTGCTGTGTCCCACAGAGCTAGTTCCACCTGACACATAAGACCAGTGAGTTAGCCAGCCCTAGGGCTCCCAACCCTGCCACCAGAGGTCCTTTCTGAAACCATTGGTTCTTGGGGCTTGCTGAACACTTGTCTTCTGGGCACCAGCTATGAGCCAGGACTCATCATGATAGTCACACAGTGTAAACTAGGTATGTTTCTTAAGAATCTAGAACATATTTGATCTCTGTATAGTTTATGGGTTGCCACTGCAACCTGTTATTTCCTACAACCACCCTTGAGAGGAGGTCTTGTCATGATGCCCCTTTTGCAGCTGGGGGAGTTTAAACCCAGAGGCAAAGGGACTCCATTAGGATGACAGAAGCAGGTGCATCCAGGGTCTTCAAGGCTATAGATTCATTTCCTAACTTCCACTGGCTTACAGCAAGGATGGGGGTGGGCCACAGGGAAGGACACTAGGACAGGAGATCTCTAAGTGACCAGGAGGGGTAGGGACTCCTGGCCCTCACCTGCTTGCCATCCACCTCAATGTCTGCGATGTAGTTCTCAAAGACAGTAGGAACGTAGACCTCTGGAAACTGATCCTTGCTGAAGACAATCAGGAGGCAGGTCTTCCCACAGGCACCATCCCCTACAATCACCAACTTCTTCCGGATCGCAGCCATGGCTGGGGCTCGCGGGAGTGGGGAAAAGCCAGGAAGTCCAAAGTCACTTCTAGGCCTCCAACGTCCCTGGAAACCGAGATATCCTGCAAAGGGACAGAAGGGAGGAGGGTGACTTGCTCAGACACGTTCTGGCCAAGAACCAGACAGCAGAGCTTGAGATTCCTAGTGTCTGGGTCAGGACAGGTCTCCCAGGCAAGTTAGAATTCAGCAGAGGTGGGGAGAAGAACCCATCTGAGCCAGAACACGTGAGTCTAATCTAATCCACTCACCAACCAAGACCCTGGATACCTAAAGAAGCATTCAGAGATCAGGGACCATCAGCTTTTATGTGCTTTACTTATCAGGATTTCAAATCAGACTTCATTTGTTAACCAGGATTTTGAACAATCAGTAAAATCTAATCTGGAACACACTGTCTCTCCGTGAGAATCATGCCTGTCAGTCACAAATGACTCCCTCTCCAAGGCCACAAACTAGCAGAACCAGCTCCCAGGTGGGAGTAAGGCAAAGAATATAAGGCCCCTAAGTGCCAGGCACTATGTTGGACATTTTTGTTTTTGGAGCGGTTTTTGCTATAGGGAGCTTGCGCTCGCCAGACAGAGAGAGAGAGACATCATAGAGACAGAAAGCGAGAAATCACCCCCCAGAGGGGATGGTCACGCCACAATCCCTTCTCCATTCTCTTGGGATTCTTGGGCACGCACGCACACGGCCTGAGTTTTAAGCCACCAGGTCCGGGACGTGAACCGCGGTCGACTACGTGGGAGTTCAACGACATAGCCATTACGTTAACTGCTGGTTCCCACTATGTTGGACATTTTGACAAAAATTATCTCCTTTGGTCCCCAGATGCCTGGAAGGCGGACGGTTCCCATTTTGACAAACTAGGAAACAGCCTCAGAGAAGACAAGACACACACGGCAGGGACAGCACAGAGCGGGACTGTCTTCGGGTACCTGTGCCTTTCTGACCACCCCAGAGGTGGGAAGGGGAGCAGGAGTGGGGAAGCCCAGACAGAGGACAGTGGCAGCAGCCAGCCGGCTTCCCTGGCCCACCCCACCCAGTCCCCAAAGCCCCGAGTCACACAAAGGAGGCTCAGTCCTGGCTGTGCCCACAGCTCCCATTCGGGCAGCCTGCCTTCCTCCCCCCTTCCTCCTGGGCCTGGCAGCAACACTGGGTCACTCAGCCCCAGGCAGGGGACAATGACCACACTGTGGGAAGCCAAACATCCACCACAGCAGACCGACTGAGAATAATCCACTAGGGAATCACCTCCACCTACTCCTTGGAACGGCCTTCCTCCCTCTGTCCAGCTCACCCGAAGGCCCTGCCCACCCCTCCCTGTGACTCAGGGCAAGGAGTCAGCTTCCCGGGGTTTCCATGTGCTCCCCCCCAACACATGCACGAGCATCTGCACAGTTCATCACACCTTCCCAGCTCCCCTTACTTCCTCCTTCCCTGGGGAGGGGAGCTGACCTGCAGCTTGCTGAAGTTCTCAGGCCTGCAGCCGGGAGGAAGAGGGCGGGCTCTGGGGCTGCGATGAAGTCAAGGCTGTTGGGAAGGGGGAGGGGGCTGGAGCCTGGGCTGGGAGGAGCCCCAAAAGAGAGAATGAGACTACCCGGGACCCGGAGCAGTTAAGTAATAAGGGACGGTAACCTGATCTCTGTCCCAAACTTGGCTTTTCCTCTCGGCCCCACATCCTGTCAAACTGGGCTGAACTCTTCTAATCCTCAGACGTCCAGCACCAGCTCACACCCGGCCTCCTCTGCCTTTTAGGAAGCAGATACTCCAGCCCAAAGCCAGTCCTCTCCAACGTGGGATCCTGGGCGCCCCCTCCCTCCGCCTTGCGCGCACATTCACAGAACTGGGATGTGAGGGAAGTGGACGTGAGTCAGACAGAATTTACAGGAGGTGAGAGTATACGGCCTCACCACAAATGGGGCTCTGACATCCCAAAACACAGAAAAGAGGCAGTCGCTCTGCCAGCAGAAGTCTCTGAAACAGGGAGACTTCCCCCAGCAAGGGGGTTCCTTGGCCATTTCACCCAGGTGACTGACACTAACTGCTCCAGCTGCATCAAGTCGAGCTGGGGAAGCCGGGCCAGGGTGAGCAGGGCTGACGGAGGGCAATCTTCGCTGGGATGAATGAGGACCAGGCACTCAGGCAGGAGTATGCCCCTGCAGTCCCCCATCAGAGAACTTCACCCGGCACCAGCAGGGGAGAGGCAGAGGCCAGAACTCTGGGACAGAGCACGCATTAAACGACCAGGAGCCCCCTGGGGTTCTGGTTGGGTCAGAACAGGACCAGGCCAGGCTAGGCCTCTAGGCCGGAGACCAAGATGGCATGGACAACAGCTCCCTGTGAGAGGCAACCCCACAGCAACTCCTCCACTGACCCCAAGAGGGACCACCGAACCCTACACAAAGCTTGGACGCAAGGGAACGTTGGGCGCTCTTGAGAGGAGCCACTGGCTACACCAACCTCCTGCCTC